AGGAAAGCAACAGAAGAAGGATCAAACCGGAAGTATCACTTTCCTTGCTAGCCACGCTAAGGCTACGTCGGTGTCCTCGTCTTAGCGCTTTGGAGTTAGACAACAGAAACAGTAGCGTTATTCTGGGTCTAACCACATTTAGCTCTTTCCACTGGGGTTTTGGGAGAGGTATGTCTGTACCATACACACATTCTGTTTGGTAAATCTTACAGTCGTGAGATTTTACTGTTGTCTATAGCAAAGCTTTTCCTGTTAGCGGATGCTATCGTCAGTTAGCAAAGTATGGCCTGCGTTAGCTGGGCTTAGTTAGTCGATGGTTAGCTAATTAACCTACACAGTGTCTCATCGGACGGCTCCACATAAATTGTTCAGAATAAGCTGTCAATGAAACTAAGGTTGTTTTTATATATATTAACGGACCAATGGTCGACTTTGTGTGAAGTTGTTTATCTGTGGTTTGGAGCTGCTCTCCTCTGTTTGTTTACAATCGTCGACAGTGTGATTGTCTGTGTCGATATAACTTGTCGTTCAATTCAAGTAATAATTTGTCAGAAGCCAAGGTCACTACGGAGTGGATACGAAGTCTCGGTTAAGTGACGTCAACCCAGTTGTGACGGGAGAGTTATGATTCTGACAAGGTTGCAATTCTGTTCCGTGTCGTCCGAGTTATCTGGTCAGCTGTTAGCCGCATGACAGGTCAGTTCACCTAGAGTGGAGGGTTCAAAGGACTGGAGCACAGTCTGTTGGCATGTACACGTTGATCAACCCTGCTGTGCGCGTTTACTTCGCGTTTATGTTGACATGTTGATTTATATTTTAGTAGATTGAATTTTGCTGTTTAGGGCCTCGTGTTTTAAAAGATTGAAAGAAAATCTAATAAAATGAAAAGTTAATATTGCCTTCAGAAAAACGTTTGTCTGGTAGCTTTGGCCCTACCAGTTTTAATGATAACAAATCCAACCACCATTTTCCCACAGTGTGTGTGTGTATTGGCTGTAATGCAAAAGCCATGGTCCAGAAAGAAATGTGTAAAAAGAAAAAAAAAAAACATTTGTGTATAAAAAACAAATTAATTGTTATTTATTAACAAAATTGTTATAGCTAAACTAAGCAGACACACCAGTGGGGACAATATGAGCTTTTTTATGAGCCGAATAAAGGATGTTTTTGTAAAAGAAAACAAAGCAAAATGGAGGAAAGAAACATTATTTAAAAAATATTTCAGTATCAGTATATCTATGTGTGCTATTTACACCTAAAGGTTTGCAAAATCTTATGAGGTATTATAAAATGAAAATGCATCAATGTGCAGAATGTTAAACATATTGTATTATTTTACATTTCTACCACTTCAGCATCGGTCTAGTAGTCCCTACGTGTACTTAGATTCACTATACACGTTTTTCTTTGTTAGACCTACGAAAAGGAAGGCGTAACAGAGGGCATTTGTCCACAGTCTGAGCTAAGCTACATGCTGAATGCATTTGCTTGAATGGCTTGCATGAACTGCACTTGTGTACCTTTACCATTGTGTTCTAAGGGAAGACAAGTTGTTAAATTGTTTCATCTGCTTTGCCACTGTGACATCTACAGTTCTTTTTAAAATATAATGTAGGCAGATTAACTGAAAATAATTTAGTAAACCTAAGTATTTGCACCAAATGTCTTGTATTGGATATTTAGAAACAACAATGTTAAAAAGTTACATTAATTGTTAACCAAATTGTTGGATGAACCATGTCCACAACCTGATCATTCTGTTACCTTAGCACATAAGGACTAAAATATCTAATAAAGGTCTCTGTCTTTTGCATGTCCTCTTTATCCTCAGATGAACAACAACGGGAATAAGAGAGCTCCAACCACAGCCACTCAAAGACTTAAGCAGGATTATCTCAGGATAAAGAAAGACCCTGTGCCTTACATCTGTGCAGAACCTCTACCCTCCAACATCTTAGAATGGTAAGACCATTATGTAGAAACTGACACTTCAACAAACTCAGAGGGATTATTATTTAAAAGATAGAAAAAAATCTTAAAATACTTTAAAACTGAAATCTGTAATTTAATATTGCATTTGCTGCTAGGTATCAGACAGTTCACCTCTGAGTTGTCAGCAAAAGTTGTTTTTAATACTGTTTAAAAAAGACTTAAGCTGCTCACCAGCTAATGATTTTTTTTTTTATCATATTTATCTATTATAAGTCAGCAGATTTATTTTGTTCTTAATAGTAGCATGACAATTTTTAATCCAATACCTCAAAAGGAGTTTGGTCAAAACATGTAAGAACTCTGAAAAAGAACAACACATAAAAAACACAAATCAATGACTAAAAGTTTCAAATGTATCACAAAAAAGTGTTCTGTCTATAGATAGTTGTTCCATATTCTGTACAATGTGAGAAGGATTCCACATTTGGAACTCTTTATTAACTTTTTTTATTTAAAAGAATATGTGGTATTTTTGTAAGGGAATGATCAACAGTATTTTATAAGGCAGTTATAAGATGTTCATAAGCTGGAAAGGAAAAAGGTTTTAATTTCTTACTACTGCTATAATATTATTGATTTTTAACCTCACTCTTTTTTTTCTTCCCTCTAGGCACTACGTAGTCAGAGGTCCTGAGAAAACTCCATATGAAGGTAATATGTATTTCAGTTCTTCCCAAATCTTTTCTGAAGTGCCTCCTTTAGTACATACGACAATTGCTTCAAAGCTCCACTGGATTTTATTTAAAACACTGTATATTCCCCCTGGAAAAAGAGAAATAAAAATACAAATTGATGAAAAAAAGTACTCACCCAATCACCTCCAACCCCACACTTTAGAACGCACTGATTATGAGTATGCATACATGCCATGCAAAAATGGCTGCATTGATATGGTGTCCTAAAAGCACAACAGTACAGGTATTAGTTCTTAAACTCAGTGAGTAACCATCTCTCAGCTGATATTTGAGATAAAAACGTAGATCTAAAATTTTACAAAATGTGCAAATGGCAGTTCAGTTCCACCATAAAGGCATTCATTATTAAAACAGTATAAAAAGCAATTGTGCAGCATAAATATTGGTCTGCCTAAATGGTCTATTTGTGTGCCAAAAGCATTTAGTTAAACTCCTAAGAGTGTCTGGTTGGAATTCTGACTGGCGACTTCAACAAGATGAAACATGCTGAAACCTTGAATTCTAAATGTCACAGATTGAACTCAAGATGGATCCCAACTTTCAATTAAGTAATCTTGGGAGTTTTTGTTATAATAACATCTTATGTCCTTTTTGTAGGTGGCTATTACCATGGAAAACTCATATTCCCCAGAGAATTTCCTTTCAAACCACCAAGTATCTACATGATAACACCTAATGGCAGATTTAAGTGTAATACAAGGTAAGACTATGGATTGTTATTGAACACCCAGCCAGCATCTACATGTCTATTTAAGTCATATGACTACAGATGCTGGATTTATCACAAATATTTTCTTTTCCACAGGTTATGTTTGTCCATCACAGACTTCCATCCAGACACATGGAATCCAGCATGGTCTGTCTCCACAATTCTCACAGGTTTGCTTAGCTTCATGGTTGAAAAGGGACCCACCCTTGGCAGCATCGAGACCTCCGACTACACGGTAGTTGAATAACAAATATTAATTTGTCCCACTGATGTCTCGCACATTATTATGGTCCATGTTGATAGCTTTTCTTTTTCAGAAAAGACAACTGTCAGCCCAAAGCCTGGCCTTCAATCTCAAAGACAAAGTGTTCTGCGAGCTGTTTCCAGATGTCGTTGATGTGAGTCAATGATTAATGTCACAAAACCATTATAAATGTGGAAGAACCAATGCATTAGGTGTACATTGTACAGACAGCTATGTGATTAAAAATGTGATAACGTTAATTAACACAATTAATGCAGTAATTATTAATAAATATATCAGTATTTCAAAACTAACAAAAGGGTCTTTGCATCTCAGTCTGGGGTCTGTCATTGGTTTTTGGCAGGTTTTTCAAAGTGTCAAACCTGTTTTTGTTTTTCTCCATCAGGAGATGAAGCAGAAACAAAAAGCCCAGGAGGAGATAAACGCCCGGACACAGCCGCTCCCTTTACCTGATGTGGTTCCCGACGGTGACCCACAACAAGCCCACTACGGCCTTCCTGCGTTCTACCG